GTGTGATCTAACATTATTATCTCTAGACTATCGTGTACATTGTATTTATATGATCTAACATTTTTTGTCTAGACTATGTTGTATATTGTATTTATGTGATCTAACATTATTTATTTCTAGACTATCTTGTGTATCGTATTTATGTGATCTGACATTTTTATCTCTAGACTATGTTGTATATTGTATTCATGTGATCTGACATTTTTTTCTCTAGACTATGTTGTATATTGTTGAAAATAAACGTGAAGTGCATTCGTTTTTATTTCAAATATGAAAAATAATAAGATTTTAAATTGTATTAGCTAAAAATATATTTAATAAAGTTTCACATTGTTATAAATGATATTCGAAAGATTAAAAACAAAAATCGAGTGAGAGATTTTATCTATTCATACTTTTCGTATTTAAAAAGTATTTTATATTATAATAGCCGCGACTCACAAAACACTTGCGGTAGTTTTCATGCCCTTAGCTTGAATTTTCCTTATTCTATCATTTCACGCACGCCATTTAAGTTAAGCTTTCTTGCAGGCATTATGCGTTACATCGATAAATCTTGATTTATTTGAAAAAAAATGTTACGCGGTCAGATAAACAAACTACACGTACGTAACTTGATTTAATAAAACTACACGTAGAGTAAACAATCAAGTCAAGTAATGATATTTATAATAGTTTACAGAGTATGAAACAGTTATGAGCGTTCATTGTATGACACAGTTTTACGATTTGAAACAAAACAAACTCCCAAATACGAAGAATAATACCTGTAGTAAAGAAACATGTAGCTAAAGATGTTTATAGCAGTCTATGAAACGAACTAAATATAAATTTGGCAAAGTAAAGTAAATGTAAAGTTGTAATGAAGGCAAACTTAGCTGAATATGTAGAAACATCTGAATGTCTGTTCACAAAACGATAAGCATATGGTTTTGAACGAACTGTGCATGCGTATTTTAGAACTAAATAAGTCGAGAAAGCCCATAGAAATTGTATTTATGTGTAATGTTTTTTTTTGGGGGGGGGGATTACATGCGGTTTAAGTGTACTTTATATGGAATGCTTTGCAAATAAAAAAAATATAGTTGAAATCGAAACCTATCGAAGCCAGTCGTCACATCATGACAACGACATTGTGCCATCGTGTGCCATACTCGTTGCATTAAAAAAATTGATTAAATAAAATACTGGTAAGATGATTCGGAATAGAAGTGGACCGTCCATACTTTTGTGGAGAGTAAGTTCTCTATTATTTTAAGGAAGTCCAACTTTCGGCAAATATCATGTTCAATTGATGTTCCAGCTGAGCTATTCAGACGATCTTGTGAGATGGTTGCACGTATGTAGTCCTTCACTATTTGCAAATGTGAAAAGTTTTTCTCTCCTGACACCAAAGTTACAGGTACAGTCAGAAGGATGTAAGATGTAAGGCTAAGGTTAGGATACCGATCCAACAACTTTTCAATGTAGAGCAGCTGAGCATCTCTAAAGACGAACTAGACATAGCAGCTGGTAAAGCATTTACTGCTCAGCCAGTATCGAGATTCAAGTAATCACAAACATTGTCATTCATTTTTAGAGCAAAATGTTTGCACCTTTTACTTACGTTATTCGTATTTGTGGTTCTGTCTTTTTCTCTGATACTAAAAAAGAAACAAATAAATTTTAGAAAAGCTCAATCTGAGAAAATCTTTCATTTGGGCTATTTTCAGTTGCATCAACTGTTGGAAGGTTTTGGAGTTTTGGTGCCATCATCTGGACGTTCATAATCAAACATAACTTTCTTCTTTATGATTATCTGTTCTGGAAATGTTATATCGATGTATATCTGGTCTGTAATTTCCTGTTCAGAAGCATGAGTTGATGTAAACCTGTTTTCTCTAGAATCTTGCAGAAATTCAATCACTGTGTGAATTTCATGTTTAAGGGTGTCCATTGCTACAGTAATGCCCTGAAACAGTTTACTTGCACGATTAATTTGAAACAAAATATCATGTGCTACCCAATATTAAAACTTAATTATATTAATATTTATATATTCTATTCATTTTTCCTCTTTCACGAAGATGTATACACGCAAATATGCAATATGTACTAGTCAACAAATTGACTCTATGTGTACTGAATATATACTGTCAGCTTCTGTTTTAATGATACGTATGAAGAATAGTGAATGAAATAAATAAACAGAAAAGTGGGGTCTACCGACTTAGTTTTGTGTCGCATTACCTTTTTGTTTACTTATCCGCACTTTCTTCTCCCCACGTAGCTATAACTGACACGTTAAAGAAATATTTTACATGCTTGTCTGTTTACATTACTTATAACAGCTGAAATAAGTTCAGATATATATTCAGTTTCATGCGAAATTTCTCATCATAAGGAATCGAAAAACAATATTCCGTGTAGTTGATTAATTTAATTTTTTTATCTAGCTATTACTTTCAACTTCAAATTAAAGGCAAATTCAAGGTGACAAAAGGTTTGATTCATGACAGATCATATTCTTAATTAGTCGTAGACTGAAAACATGGAATGATACTTGGAAGTTTGAATTGTAAAAAAAGAAGTTGTATTATTAAATGTAACAGTTTCGTGTGTAGAACCATAAAAAGCTACTAGCCCCATCTATGGAGGTAAGCTTGCGTAACTTGTTTTAAACCGTTTGCTTGTTATCAGCATTATCATATATTTCTTCACACTGTGTAGTAAAATAATATAAAACAACATAAAGCCTAAGGAGTAACAATAGTATCGACTTGCTACCCACACACATAATTTAAATATCTACAAAAGGAGACAAAAACCGAGCACTAACCTGTTTGTGTAGCAATAGGGCTAATAATGAAATCTATTGTTGTGGAACTTGAATAATGACATCTAAATTGTGTGTCGTTAGTATAAGGAACAAGTTTCTACAAAACATCTCATAAGATGTAAATAAATAAATTAGTAATAAAATTAATGAACGATAGCTTATTTGGAATATATTTCTTCATTTTGACAAAGAACAGAGTTGAGTTTTTTAATGATTTCCGAGCTACAAGAAGCCTGACATCACAAAGATTAAAATCACAGCTTTTAAAAGATTACAGATTTTGAGACGATTTTAGAAAAAAGAAATTTCGACTTTAGTTTAATCTAGGTACCTAAAGTAAATTTAAAAAAATCAATTAATACAACTGAACGATATCATAACGACAGTTTTCTCATTTACGAGAAGAATATATTCAAAGGGGCTTTTACAATTTTAGATTCGATATTACTTTACGTTATATATATATATATATATAACCAGCAGTACTAACTGTGGGCCCTACTTTCGTAGATATATTTGTTACTAGCCGTGGGCCCTACTTTCGTAGATATATTTGTTACTAAATGTGGGCCCTACTTTCGTAGATATCTTTGTTACTAGCTGTGGGCCCTACTTTCGTAGATATCTTTGTTACTAAATGTGGGCCCTACTTTCGTAGATATCTTTGTTACTAGCTGTGGGCCCTACTTTCGTAGATATCTTTGTTACTAACTGTGGGCCCTACTTTCGTAGATATCTTTGTTACTAACTGTGGGCCCTACTTTCGTAGATATCTTTGTTACTAACTGTGATTCTAATCACATTGAAAACTAGTTGAGGATATGAAACCTAGCGCTAACCTATCTTCACTAGTATCTACAAATAAACATTCAAATTTGATCCATTTCTTTAGGAATTACTATAAATATCCTCTCTAATAGATATGTGTGTATGTGTGTTTATATATATATATATATATATAGTATACCCTAGTACTCGACGTCAGCAACAGATGGTATACGACACGTAAACCATATGTCAGAGTACAGCTTTTTATATATAGCAAGCGTATTCTGCTTCTCAGTAAAATAGAAAAACCGCTCTTGAACCTTTGTCTTCTCAGCGTTGCTTTCATCATGACCACTGTACTCATAACAGGAGCCGCAGGTTATATTGGCAGCCACGTTACTGTTGCTGCACTGGACGCAGGTTACAATGTTGTAGCTGTAGACAACTGTGTGAACGCCTCACCAGGTAACTTAGTAATTAAAATAAAAAACAAACAAACAAGCATTTAAATGAAAGAGGGATTTTAAAGTGAAAGGACGACACATTTTTTTTTGTCTATTACGCTATTTGTGACCTTCTTAAGGAGGACATTTCGAATAATCTCACATTAATCTGGTCAAAAATGATAATATTTAATAACTTCACTACTGTTATCAGAAATGGTAATGTTGTATATGTTGAAGCAAATTTTCATTCTCAAAACCAATTGATGATTTAACAAAGAACTTGTGAATAAAACTGTCTAAAACTAAAAGCTGATTACTCAACTGGTTTTTAATTCTCATAATATATACCTTATTTTGTATCCAACAAATCTAGGAATTTTTAATTGTTGCAAAAACCGTAAAGCAGCTTGGCGGCTTCGGTGACCAAAATTTAAATAAGATTTAGGCTAGATTCAATGGTTAATATGTTCAATAAAACACCTTTCTTTCGTAATTGAAAAACGCAACATAGCCGGCACTTTCGTCAAATGTAGCATGATTTTGTTTCAGTAAATGTTTAACTGGGTTGCAACTTAGAATGGTAGTTCTTTGGTTCATTATCATAGCGTGTATACAAAAACAAAATCTGCAGCTTATACATTGAAAACAATAGTAATTAATGTAAGAGAAATCAGGGTAGTTGCCGTTATTAATATTATTGTATTAAAGCTACATTAGGATAAGATAATTACATTATTTATAAAATGTTTATTTTTTTCTATTTTTCTGATACTGGAAGAGTCCATTTATTAGTTGTTCCAAACATATTAAACAGTATATAGTGTCTTCAAGAAATATTAGATTCTACTATAAAGTATCTTTGATAAATTATAGCTTTACAACTGTAGATACCCATGGTGGGCAGAGCACAGATAGCCCATTGTGTAGCTTTGTGCTTAACTTCAAACAAACAAATTATAGCTTAAAATGTTGTATTTTAAAGAAACCAAAATATTTATTTTATCTAATCTCATTAGATCATTTTAATATTTTCAAATAAAGAAATAAAAATAACTTTATTTCTCCCTAAGAAATGTTTATTTTTTTACATATCTTCCTGTAATATCGGTAAATATCTTTTTCAGGAGATGAAACAATACCTCCTAGTCTTCAGCGAGTTCAAGAGATAACTGGAAAGACACTAAGCTTTTATAAGATTGATCTACTAGATAAGGAGAGCGTTAGAGCAATTTTCAGCAAGGTAATGATAACATTTTTTCTGTCACTGTGAACTTATCAAACTCTTCTTCCTTCCTTTATAGATTGATAAGATTTAATTTGATAAACTGCCTACTTTCATTGCCTTTATCGTGATTATGACAAGTTGAGCTATATTCAGTTACGTATATTTTTGTTCCAACCGTATTTTACTCTGTGTTTTTGTTGTTGTTTATAAAACTAAAAGAATAATTTAGTTTACAAACAATGAATGACAAAACATTTGAATTAGTCTAAGTTTATCTATCTAAGTGAATTTTGTTTAAGATTGACATTATGCCCATCTACATTTCTCTTCATTTATACCGTAGTGTAAATCGTACACGAGTAATGTAATAAAAACAGCGTTTTTAAATATTGATACAAAAGAATATCCAGCACAGCTAATAAATTAAATGTAAGGAAGTTATTGAAATAAATATAATATCGTATCTCTCTTTGATGCGTATTTTAGTACAATCCTGAGTGTATTATACACACAGCTGCGCTAAAAAATATGGCCGAATCAGTGAAAAATCCTCTTCCTTACTACCGCAATAACATCGGATCTTTATTGACTATATTAGAGGTAAGTACCAAGCCTTTGTAAGCCCCCACTTATAATTTACTATGTTTAAAATACCTGTTTCATTTAATCAATATACGTGCTCCAGCATTTGTTTTGCGTTAAAGCTAGTATACTTCAACAAATATTTGTTGCCTTAACAGTTTTTTTATTCGTCAGTTTAAACGCTAATATTTCTTGTTTCATTTGCTAAACTAAGGAAATATTCTCTGTCTCTCAGATTAGACAATGCGAATTTTATCTCAAATCGCGTGTATTTAATTATCTTATCAATTGTTTTATTTTTAAGGAGTGATACAAAGTTTTTTATAAGTTTGGTTTAGTCAAACTTTGATTTATGTCGTATCGCAAAAGTAGAACTTATTATTTAGAACATTTATTATTCGTGTACACTTCAGTCTCAAAGATTATTTAGCAAAATGTTTTCTGTTATTCGGTTTCATTTATAACGGTAACAAAATATTATTTTATAGTTTTAATAAATGACTAGAGCATATTTTTTTCCCGTTTTTCAGATCATGAAAGAGTTTAACGTCAAAAAGATTGTATTTTCAAGTTCAGCCCTTGTATATGGTACTCCAGAGTACAACCCTATCGACGAGCGCCATCCGGTGGGAAAAACATGCACGAATCCTTATGCTAAGACAAAATATTTCTGTGAAGAAATTTTGAAAGATGCTTGTGCAGCAGATAAGGTACGTTTTTTTTATTATTATTTATTAGAATTAAAGTGTTCTAAGTAGGCGATAATTAACTTAACAACATATATTAATGCTTTACTTAATTTTCTAATTCTATGTTTGAAAAGGGGTCGAACAGGTTTCAAAGAGTACTTTGCCCATTAGGTTTACATTTCATTGTTCAGTGAAAAGGCGTCACTAGGTACTTAAAGGATTCAGAGCTCGAGTTCAAAGGCGTGGGAATTTACGGCGTTTCAGTATGATATTGGTCATGGTTTTCTATTCTGATATTTCTTGACAACAACTGGGAAACTGGGGCACTGTAAAATAAAATTGAGGCACGAGCCCCGTGTGTCAATGCCTAGCGACACTTCTGGTTTTATGACTTGCATCATAATAATTTCTAACACTACTCAAACGTACAACAAATTAATTAAGATAACGCTTTAGCTTCTATACTTCAAATAGGATTCAGCGAAATAGATGCTAACTTTCGCAGTGACAATATAATGTGTTTGCTTAAGAAGCAGGATGTTATACTTCTGAAGACTTCCTTGCATTTTGAAGCATTCAAAAACAGAGAGAGAGAGAAAGACTCCATACACGTTACGAAAAAGTATTTTATCAAACTGTAAACAACAATGCACTAATCAAATCATTACTCCAAACAATTTTGGTGCACCGTGATCGTACCAATTCTTTCAAGTGTGCGTATACTAGATATTGAAAGATCGTTCAATTTTGTTTTATCTGTCTGATTTTAACAGGATTTAACAGCAGTGGCTCTTAGATATTTTTCACCGGTGGGAGCTCACGAATCTGGGCGAATAGGAGAAGATCCTTTAGGCCCGCCAAGCCAACTGATGGCAATCATTTGTCAAATTGCTGTTGGGCGACGACCACAGCTAGCTATATTTGGTAATGATTTTAACACTGCGGATGGAACAGGTATAGTATACTTTAACTTTCATTCTGTCAGACTAACCACACCTAAACATGCTGTGAAGTTATCAATGTAATCAATCAGCAATCCATAAAAACATAATTTACTTCCCGTTTACCTGCTCCTGAATATTTCTCGTCATGAAACATATATTGAAACGATTAAAACTTCAAGAAGCATATAAGCATAAAATAGCGAAGTTTCATTAAATAAATATATTTATATAACGGTTTCCCCACGGTTTAATAAATATATTCCTGCGGTATATCAGAAATAAATAATATTTACTCTTAAACAAACTTTTAGCATTCAATTATCAACTTTTTCAGTCGAACGAGATTATATTCACGTAATGGATCTGGCAAAGGGAAGTGTGGCACCACTGAATAAAATGAATGAAGATCCAAACTATAAAGGATTTAAGGTATAAATGATTGAATAACGTTTTCATCCTCTTTTCTTGGTGTATTTATAATGTAAAAACGAAGAAAAATGTATTGGTTTTCTGTTTGTTTAGTATCCGGTATTGCTTTTTTGGTTTCAGTAATTTTACTGCAGATATTTAGAGAAAAATAATCTATTTTCTAAATTAGTTGAGGCTCTGCGAAACCCGTATGGTTGCATTTCAAAGTATGATAAACAAAGAGATGTTTGATCTATACATTACTTTCATCCTTGTAATACTTGAATTATAGTTTCAAGTCTTTATGTAAATTGTCATAGATTCAATTTTACTGTGAGAAAATAATAAAAAAATCCTATTTCAATGAAAAAAACTTTATTTTTTAAACAATGAAAAGATATATTTTTTTAAATTTAGAAATCATTTTTGAAGTGTTTTTCGATTAATAACAAATTAATTCGTGTTTTCCTGATTCCCAGTAAAATCATCTTCTAATTTGGAATTGCGAAAATGTTTTAATTTTTGGTTTTTTTGCATGTTTGATTTTTCAAGGCTTATAACCTAGGAATGGGAAAAGGATATTCGGTTCTTCAGCTGATAAAAGCTTTCTCTAAAGAGTCAGGTAAGAAAATCCCCTACACCATTGGAGAAAGACGAGGAATTGACGTCGCTCAACTTTTTGCACATATTGGTTTAGCTGAAAAAGACCTCGGATGGAAACCAAGACAGACATTGGAAGATATGTGTGAGTGTGGTACAATCCATTATTAAAAGACTAATACAAATTTTATCTTTATTGTTTTATGCATTATTACACCTATTTTCTATAAACAATTAAAGCTTTGCCAGTTTATTCTTAATATTAGGTTGTCAAGAAATTAATGTCGCTTTTTTAGATGAAAAAACCCGAACAACTTATATATCAAAACAAAACATATGTTAAATAAAATAGTCTCCATTCTTATCGATGATGCTTTTCCATCTGACAATCAGGTTGTAAATGCCCTGATTAAAGAAATCACTTGGCTTTAATGCAAAAAAATATGTCGATGTTTTCTTTAACACCTTCCACATTTGCATACGTTTTCCCATTAAGATTGTGTTGCAGCGAACGAAAAAGATGGTAATCTGATGGTGCCATATCTGGAGAATATGGTGGGTGGGGGAGAACTCCCAACCCAACTCCATAATCTTGTGTTGCGTCAAACGTGTCACATGTGGACACGCATTGTCGTGGAGAAAAAGAACACCTTTTCGATAGACGAGTGAAGGGCGTTTCTGATGAAGGGCGTGATTTAAACGTTCCAGTTACTAACTATAGATCTCTGCATTGACAGTTCGCTGTGGATTGAGGAGTTCGAAATGAATTACTTTGATGTCTCATCAAATGCAAAGCATCACTTTCTACAGATGGAGCCCAGGTTTGGGGGTAGGAAGTGGTTTTTGTTTAGGACTGAGCCATTGTTTTTGGCGTTTAATATTTTCATAGAGAATTTATTTTTTCATCACCGGTAACAATTCTGTCCAAAAATGGTTCACGCGCATTACGGGCCAGAAGAGACGAAGCAACGTTCACGTGTTGGAAACGATGATCATCGGAGATTTCGTGAGGCACCCAAACACTTTCTTTATGGGGTTTCCCCATATTTCTTAGATGTTTACGTATTGTTTCATGAGAGACATGAGATATGCAATTTCAGGGCCATTTCACGAGTGTGTTACCTTGGGTTAGATTCAACAAGCGTCTGCAGAGCATCAATATAAATTCCAACATGTCGACCCCTGCCATCACAGTTTTAAAGCTAAAGTCACCTGAACGAAATTTTCTGAATCATCGTTGACACTAACGAACGTTCAAAACATTTCCATAAACTTCTTTGATATTCTTTGTGACAACAGAGGCGTTGTTTCCCTTCTTGTATTCAAACAGCATTACATGCCGAATG